TTCATTTCTTTAAAAACTTGACATTGACATCGTGCGCTCACTTGGTGTATCACCTAGCCAATCAGAATGCAGTGACTAATTATTATTTGAAACCTGGTCAAGTCCTACCGATAGTACCGCAAAGCGGTTAATATAACATTCTCATTGAACATTGGCCGGGTGCATCGATCCCTCACGCTCCATTTCCTACTCACACCTTTCATGACATAGACATACACCTCGGAATAAAAACATCTCAGATACATATCTTTAAAAAACATTCATTGACTCATGACTTCTGGAAACATTTTATTCTTTGAAATTTTATGTATGCTTATTGATGCATTGACGTGCATGAATATGTCATAAAAATAACATATTTATCCATTTAATAATGTAACGTAAGCATGAAAATCACGAGACGTTTACTAACGTGAAATCCTTAACAATTTACTTTTAGCATATAAGACAAAAATGTTTGTAGCAGTCCACAAAATGAACTTGCCGAAGAGTCCTAAATCATTACCATTTAATAAGAAATTCTGACATACATAATTTTTATAACTATATAGACATATCCTTAAATGACAATACCCCTTTTTTAACATATTTATTTATAACTCGTAGATATACAATTACATATTTAACAAGATATTATATAGACGGTTTTAAACGGGAGCATGCAATAAACATTGTGGCGTGCAAGTTGTGAAAATAAGATTATGTGCTAAGGTTCGTTTACTTCATCATTTCACACTAACCATATAATAAATATCAATAAATTATGAATATACACTATTAATTATTCCAGAAGATTATATAAGCACATATAAACTAGAATGTCTCCATGTTCTAACTATTATGTAACAGATGATTGGAAAACCTCAGCTTATAAAATCATATCAATTGAATCTCGACAATTTCCAGCTAAGCGTGTACATAGTCAAGTGGATTCATTTTTATGTTTCTTTTTCTTTATATGTTAAATATAGATATTGCACGTTAAGTTATGAAGATAAGTATTTCATATCAAGAATGATAAAGAACCCCTCTTTGAACCCAATAGATCTCCAAAAGGCCAATATGTAATATAAAATTACATTTTATAGACATTAGTTATAAGTACTTATATTTACCATTAAGGAAATCATAAATTAGAATAAAACAATACAGAATGCTAACCTCAAAATTAATGAAAAGCATGAAGAATCATGTAGTTTCAAGTATCAATAACTCCCGTCTCTCTCCTTTTGATGTGGTGTAGGATCGAGGTATGGGGAAAATAATTTAACCATAGAAGGGTCAAAACAATAAATAGTGACTGGAAGGGAGTGAATTGGACGATTTTGATTATGGGAATGCCAATTTGTAATTCATCATGCAGTGTGGATTTTAAATTAGTGAAATCTTGATATCCATTCTTAGATAAATAAAATATGGTAAATTTGCAAATAAAAAAACTCCTTCAAATTAGCTCAAATTAAAGTCTTGAGCATTTCCATTCATATGTAGATTAAACTTTTTTGGTAATAATAGTAAGCTATAAATCATAGACATATATTAAATAACATATTTTACTCTTAGTTTCATTAAAATTAATACTACTAACAATAAATTACTTATTAAGTACACACTAAATACACATAAAGGAAGCACAAATATCTATCACGTAAATCATATGTGGCGTTACAAATACATAATCTATTTGGACATAGTAATTACGAGAATGAAGCGCGTGGTGTTACCTAATGAGACATGAAGATTGAAACCATGCTAGCAAATAAATGTCCATTATCATATATTGTTCTACATGTTGATTATTATAAAGGACTATGTGTTTGTTTGAGATAGTTAAAAGGTTGATTTTGATAAAAATAAATGATAAGTGTCACGGAATGAATAGTAATAAAGTGAATAATGATTATGGATTATATGCAAATTGTGGTTAATATTAATTGTTAATTTTAACTTCAAATTTTTTAGATCTTCGAAATAAGCACTACATATAATAATTTCATAATAATTATATGCAATATGAAATATATATATAGATTTCTTATACTGATGATCGACCCCTCAAGACTGCACTAAATTCTATCATTTAACATGTGCAGTATGATAATCTAAAATAAATTTCTACCATTTCAATGTAACTACTCACAATAAAATATATTTTTCTCTTGGACAAATCTGAAGTAATAGTGGATTCATTTGCTGGCACTGGGTCTCATGTCCCATCATAAAAGTCATCGACTAAGTTCAAAGACTGTGTTAATTTAATTCTCCAATCTCAAGAAGAAGGAATGAATTTAACAAAAAAAAAAAAAAAAAAAAAAATTAAAAAAAAAAAAAAAAAAAAAAAAGAAAAAAATTTAAAAAAAAAAAAAAAAAAAAAAAAATTGGTGCCCCACAATGACAAACACGTGAAAAATTCAAAAAGAGAATTTTAGTAATTCGATGAAAGTTATCTACTAAGTTCAAAGAATTTGGCTCACCGTTTCATGACTTTTATATTTGCGACCATTATACCCCCTTTAATGGCAAAGAAATCACGGTGCATCCTTTGAAAATTGGGCAGTTAGAGTGATGGGTAAAATTGGTAAAGTTTAAAAGAGAGGATTAACTCTTGAGTCTTGACAGACTTTTGTCAAGTCGATATCAGAAATCCCGAATAAAGAAAGAGTCGTTCAAATAAGGGCTAAAATGCCAATCATGTAAGCAAAATATGTAACGTCCCAAGTTCTAGTAATTCGACGAATAATTAAAAATAAGTTATTTAACATTAAATTTCATTTTCAAGAAAGTTTTAAAATTTGACATAATAAATATTGGAAGAACTTAAAATTTTGTCAATACAAAATTAGAAGATTGTGAAATGATTTTAGAAAGGCCTGAAAAAGTTTGAACAAGATGGTGCTGTTTTTTTGGTCCGCGCAGTTGTAAAAATTATTTTGATTTAGCAAATGTTTATAAAAAATTATGAGATTTTTTATTTTTATTTATTTATTTATTTTTATTTTATTTTATTTACCATTGAGACTACCAAACTCGCGTAGACAAGAAAGAGTTAAAAAATGTTGCCCTCGAGGCACATCTCCAAGTGGTAAAAGGGGATAGTGGAGAAATCCAGCTTTGTTTGAAGCTGCTGCGTTAAGGGTTTGAATCCTGAAATATGGATTTGGCTCTTGGGTAAGTATAAGTGTAAAAGCAGCCTTCCACCCTGTACCATTGGAAGCATAACATACGATTTACCTCCCTCACGATACTCCAGGGTAGGGGCGGTGGGAGACCCTTAAGGTTGGGGTTCAACCTTTAAGAAAGAGTTAAAAATGTTTACTTTGATAAAAAGGACTGATGTGGTTCACGAAATGAGGAAAAGAGTAGTGTGGATGGTAATTATGGATCCATGTAATTTAACTTTTATCTCAATTTTTTAGCAACATTTTTAGCTCTCTCATAGATGCACTAAATAGAATTTCAAGGTAATTTTATGCAATGTGAATACTTTATACAACCCCCAAAGTTAGATTTGCGCTTGCAGTTGCATCAGAAGTCGTTGCTTCAGGTGCTAAAGTATGGCTATTTTGTATTCATTGAATAAAAATAGGTTGTAATTGTACTATTTTGAGTCTGAAATAAATTTCTACTATTTATCTGTGACTACTTATAATAAATATATTTTTCTCTTAAGACAAAAATGCTCATAGTATGAGTCATGTGCAACACTTTAAGATGTACTTAATTAGGTCAAATTAATATGCTAATCTAAATTCTAGGTACCATTTTGAAAAATAGAAAAACTTGTAATATCGATTTTCCACTAAAAACTCTTAGGGCCTATTTGATTCGTCACATTTTTTCCAATTTTGTGTGTTTGATACGTTTTAATTTTCATGGAATTCCATTTTCTTGCTTGTCTTGAGAAATGGTATTTTCTTGATTTTTAAGGAAAACCAATTCCAACCTACTTTTCATGAATTTTTTTATTAATTTTTTTTTTTGTTTTTTGAATTTTTTGTTGGCAATGGAAACAAATTCTAAAAGTTACTGTAAAAAAATATTTTACTTTAATTGACAATTCTCATATAAAATAAAGTCAAACGAACACTAAAAGATAGATGATTTTTTTTTGTTGACAATGGAAACAAATTTGATTCCCAATACCAGTAAAATATGTCTCTTAAATTGACAATTTTCATATAAAACAAAGTCAAACGAACACCAAAAAATACTTTTATTTCAACATTTTTCACGTGAAAAATTATACCAATCAAACACAATAATTTACAATTCCCAGGAAAATAATTTCTAAACAATTCAATTCCTTGGAATTCATTTTCAATTCAATTAAATTCCGTCTTTGCAATTAAATGGACCCTTAGGGCCTGTTTGATACACTCCATTTTCCATGTTTTCCATTTTCCACTCAAATGTCTTATTTGATGGACAGAATTTTCCACAGAATTGGTTTTCCACCCTACCCCCATGTGACCCATTTTCTTGATTTTTAAGGAATTTGTTTTCCTTTGGTTTTACTGGAAAAGTGTTTTCCAACTTTTTTTTTTTATTTTATTTTCGGCAATGAAAATAAATTTTATCCACAATTGTGACAAATTATATTCTTTTAATTGACAATTTTCATGGAAAACAAAGTCAGACGAATATCAAAAGATCCAAAATTTCAACATTTTTCAGGTGAAAAATTATACAAATCAAACACATTTAATTGATTATTCATTTTGTAATCAAACAGACCCTAATAGTTAATTGAAAGAGAAATATTTTGGTCATCTATTTTTTTTTTTTAGTTTTATTGTTGTAAAATAGTAAAAGTAATCATAATCAACAATTTCATCGAAAAGTTTGTCAAAAAAACTTTAAAAACTTTTCGAGGAGCCGAAAATTGAGTATCAGCTTGGCTCGAGTTTTTTTAGGTCAAGTTTTTTTTGGCTCGAGGCTAGCTCGAGCCTTACCAAGTCGATCCGACTTGATATTTTTTCTCCCATGGCCTATTGCCTTCGTTTAGGCAGACTTTTATAATAAAAAAAAATCCTTAAATTTCGAGTCGGTCCACAAGTCACACGGGTCAATTTGGGCTCGACCCGACACCCCAAGTTGGGACTTGACCCATTCATCGAGCCTCCAGTCGGGCCGACTTGAACTTTTTACTGGCCGAACCATGGGCAACAAGCACACGAGCCATTTTGCGATCACTAGTATCGATCAAGTAAAATTCTAGACTCTCCCAACTTTGCTAGCACAACTTATTATTTTGGCGAGTTAAATCAAGCACATCATCCAATGCTCCAACCTCAGTCACTTGAAGCCCCGACGGCAATGGCCACCACCGTTCTTGAGCACTGTGAAGTTACCCCGCCACCCGATGCAGCAATTGAGTTTTCACTCCCTCTTGTATTTTTCGATTTGATATGGTGGGATTTTCCTCCTAATCAGAGTGTTCTCTTCTTTGATTTTCCCATTTCCAAGTCCCGTTTCTTGGACACCATTGTTCCCAACCTCAAACAATCTCTCTCCCTCGCTTTAAAGCATTTTCTCCCACTAGCTGGCAAAATTATCCACCCTTTAATCTCCGGCATGCCCATTTCTCTTTACACAATTGGGGATTCTGTTTCTTTAACAATTTCTGAATCCGGTGCTGATTTCAATAACCTTACCGGAAATCATCAAAGGGATTCTCGTGAATTCTATTCTTATGTCCCTCAATTGCCACCGGCAACCAGTTCTTCCGACTCTATTCGAGTTCCGGCCTTGGCTTTGCAAGTAACTGTATTTCCAGAACATGGCGTATGTTTTGGATTCACCAACCATCACGTTATTGGGGATGCAAGTACAGTCGTATCTTTTATACAGTCATGGGCTTCAATCAACAGATTCAATGGAGATAGTAAATATTGTTCGCTGCCATCATTTGACAGAACAAACGTTCAAGATCTCAACGGACTGGATTCAACATATTGGGACCTAATATTGAAGGATTGCGACTCTTTGGAGCCTCCGCTCATAAACCCACCAACCAATAAATTCCGGGCAACATTTGTTCTCAGGGAAGAAGATGTCCAAAAGCTGAAAAAACTAGTATTGTCCGAGCGGAAATCAGCAACCCATGTATCCTCTTTCACGGTTGCTTGTGCCCTAGTCTGGATTTGTTTAGCAAAATCTGCCACTGAGTCCGGGGAAATGGTGCCGGATGATGAGGTGGAGCATTTCAATTTTGTGGCAGATTGTAGGTCGCGATTGAATCCCCCATTGCCAGCTACATACTTCGGCAATTGCGTAGTACCTGTGCTCCAGGCGAAATCGAGTCATGGAAAATTGAAGGGAAATGATGGGTTTTTTATTGCAGCAGAATCAATTGGACTGGCCATTGCCCAAACCGTGTTTAATGAGAAGGGAATATTGCATGATGTGCAGAATTTGACTGCCCAGTTCCAAGAATTGATCGGAAAGCGGCAATTTTCGGTGGCGGGATCACCAAGATTTGATTTCTACGGTGTAGATTATGGATGGGGACGGCCAAAGAAATTCGAAGCTCTTTTTATAGACGGCGATGGAGCCATATCCTTTTGCAAATCCAGGGAGCCTGAGGGAGGCTTAGAGATTGGTTTGTCCAGACCAAAGATTAGCATCGATTCTTTTGCAACGACATTCACCGAGGTTCTTGGAAATTTAATACCTTAAATTTACAGCTTCAAGATTCCAACTATTTTCATTGGTAATATTAGGATCTGAATTTGTAAATTCTCCACGAGCAAACTCTGAGCATTTGTGGGGAATCACAAAATTTCTCATTCAGACTACAATAAACCATGCAAGTTGTTGAATACGTTTCTTCCTATAATGTCAATTGGAGGCTAATTCTATGAAACCATGCTTCTTTGTAGGATGATTAAAAACTTGAACAAAGATAGACGATGATGCCATTTAATTAGGTTATTTATTTATCGTTTGTCTTAACTTATGACATATCTGAGCAGCCCTCACATAGGTCACAATGCATAAGTGCATTCCTCTCTAGGATATCTTGCCCAAAGTCTATTGGGGCATTCTCAACTCCCACCCTTCGATCGGTACACATGTGCGATTTCCTTCAGTTCGCCAAAGTCCCACTTCTAGCCAGAACTCACGAGTCTTGCGCAGCTTGACGAGGTCAACCATATACTCTATTGTGGGATCCTTCTCCATAAGTGCTCTAAGTTGATCTTGTATTTGTAGCAACTTTGTTTCATGAAAGAGTGGCCATTCAGCACATATTGGCTAGATCAGCCTTCGACTCAGTGCATCTGTCACATGATATAACAATATTTTATTGGATGATTGTTGAAAATATTGTAAATAGTAAATTTATTAATGAATAATAATTGTACCTCTACAGCCTTAGAAATTATTATCATTATATCTATAATCTCAATATAAATATAGAGGTTTGGCTCCCAATAAAATACACATAAATCTAATGACTTTTATTCTCTCTCTCTCTTTTCTCCTATCTTTTCATAACACATTTTTAATACGAAAACTTAATTCTATATATGTCTAACACATTTATCAATTCTTGTTCATCTATCAATGTACCCAAGAATCAATTCAAGGCATAATAGATTTTGGTTTTATAATTTACTACACTCTGGAATTCCAGCATACGCAATCATTTCGTTTCCTTTAATTGACCGCACTCATGGTACTTTAAGTCTATATCATATCTTGTAATTATCTATGCTAGGTTAGTCACACCACTAGCCATGCATAATTTATTAATGATTACTAAGGAAATAAAATATTTGTAATGATTACATTCAAGAATTTTTTATAAAATTTTGAGATGAATACAGCTGCTGTCCCCCACTCAATTTTGTAATTATATGCGTTTGGTAATATTGACTAAGCTTGGGCGATTCATGCATATTATATTTTTTATTTATGTTGCTCTTGAAATGAAACAAAATTATAATTAATATTTCAAAAAAAAATCGTAAAATTATAATTAATATTTCAAAAATAAGAATAATAGTAGACATGTCTATTACAAATATTTTTATTGTTGCTCCTGAAATAGCACAACATTATAATTTTAAATATTTCAGAAAAATATTGACATATTGCTCTTTAAGAAATAATAGTAATATACAAAATACTCCCGAAGCAACACGTGTTTCGAAGAATATATCATTTTAAATAGTATTTCATGTTGACATTGATTACTTGATTAATTATTATATGATGTTCAAAATCAATTGTATTTCTTTTGCTTTATTGTATAGTTAATCAAATAACAAATATCACAAAACATGAGTCTGCTACACTTGACATATCTGACAAAAACTATTTGTCATGGGTCCTCGATGTTGATATTCATATTATCTCAAATGGTCTCAGAGAGACAATAAGAGAAGAAAACAAAGAATTCATACAAGATCGTGCAAAAGCACTTATTTTCTTTCGTTATCATCTTTATGATGGATCGAAAATAGAATACCTCACAGTGATAGATCCTCAAGTTCATGGAAAAATTTGATTGAAAAGTTTTGGTCATAAGAGGACTATAGTCCTCCCTAAAGCTTGTTATGAGTGAATGCACCTTTTTTTGTAAGAGTTTAAAACTATTAGTGAGTACAATTTTGAACTATTTAGAATATGTTCTAATAAATAGTTAAAAATTGACCTCATGTGGAGAAAAAAGTTACTTATGAAGGTATGTTGTAAAAAACATTTTTTACCTGTCATGCCTCGAATGCGCTACTGTAGCAGCAATATTGTGAGCGTTGGTGCAAAAGTACTCGAACTCACTTCTTGTTTGCTTGTAGTTGAACAAAATAACAAACTACTGATGAACAATCATTTATTACATTCAATTGGTTCTGTGTCATTGTCTGAAACAAATACAATATCAAAATAATAACATGGACATGAACACGAATTTGGACATAGACGTAGAATAAATCATAGACGAAATAATCAACAAAGTTATCAATAACAAAACAACTATTTCAAAATGCACAAGTAAACGAAAGTAACATATCTAAGAAAGAGCACAAAGAAAGTTACTTTACTTGTGGAATGAAAAAGCATTGGGCACCTTGTCGTACGACAAATCATTTTGTGGATCTTTATCAAAAATTATCAAGGAAAAAGAAAATGGGGAGACAAATTTTGTCGATTATAATGATCTATTTGATATGACTCATTTGAATGTTTCTGATTTCTTTTCTGATTCAAATAGTAATATTGACCATTTGAATGAGGGTTGCATGATGAAGATATAGATTAGTATATTTTCTATGTTTTTAGTATTTCTCTTCGTTTTAAAATTTTAGTCTGAATTTTTTTTGTAAAAATTTAAAACTTTATTACGCATCGTTATTTTCATAATATTGAATTATATTTACTTCTTTTGAATACAAATTCAAATTTTTAAAAATATGTTTTTGTTATATTTATAGGTTAATGATAGATTGTCAAGATACCTATTTTGATTGATAGTGTAATTACGCATACTATTTTTCAAGATAAAAATATTTTTTAAACTTAACATTTGCAAAAAATAATGTTAATATGATATCGGGTACATCAAATATCGACAAATCATTGAAGACTTCAGAAGAACTTATATTTTTTTTTACCAAATAACACAAAATTATATATTGACAATGCACTTTATTCTATCAAATCTCGAAGAAATTTGCATACTTTTAAAAATATCCACTACAATGGATGTCACATGGAGATGATTTAAGAAAATAATATTAAATATCTTTGCATAACTTTTTTTGTATCTGATCAAAAGGAGATAAAAGAAAAACTTCATACACTCTCATTTGGCACGTATTATACATTTATAAAAATGATTGAATAAAATATTATCATGAATTGGAAGTTCATTGACCCAAAAAGTTCTATACTTTAACATGATCGACTTGAACATCCAACAGTTATAATGTTACGTTAAATAATAAACAACTTACATTGGCATCTTTTAAAGAATCATAAGATTCTTTTACTTAATGATTATCTATGTGTAGTTTGTTCAAAAAGTAAGTTAATCATTAAACCTTCGACTACAGAGATCAATATTAAATCTCCAACTTTCTTGGAAGAATTCATGGAGATATATGAAAACCAGTTTGTTATTTTATGATATTAATTGATTCATCTACTAGATGGTCCCAACTCTACCTACTTTTCCACTAGGAATGTAGCCTTTACTAGAAGCTTCTACTATTGCATGGCAACAAACAGTAAGTTGGCCCAATCTCTCGCCCAGCCTTCACCTTCTTCAGTAGCCGAGTTGAAGCGTGCAACAATTCTTTGCCACCCGTCTTAGGACCAAGCGAAAGTGCTATGTGTCTAGAAAACTCGAGATTGTAAATGGATTCGAGAACGGCCTCTTTCATGACTACTTGCTTAAATCATAGAATTACGAGCTCAATTTCCCGATTACACATTGGGTGATTATTGTATGTCAATTAAAATTGTTATTGAGCATTTAATTGTACATGTTCATACACAATATGGTTTAGTTGAGTCGTTTATTAAACATCTACAACTTATAATTAGGTCATCACTTATGAAAATAAAACTTCCAACTTCTATTTAGGGTCATACCATATTACATGTTGCATAATTGATTTGTATAAGACCAACCGTCTATTATCAATATTCATCTTTACAACTTGTATTTGGTTATAAACCTAACATTCATTACTTACGAGTTTTTAGTTGTGTTATCCAAGTCCCTATTTCATCCCCCACAACGTACAAGGTCCCTAACGAAAACTTGGAATTTATGTTGGTTTTAGTTCACCATCCATTATTATGTATTTTGAACCTTTAATGGGTGATCTATTTGCTGTACATTTGCCAGACTGTTATTTTAATGAAATGACTTTTACAAATTTGAAAGAGATAAAACTATATCCTGAAAAATAAAGTAATTTTTTTGAAATGAAACAACTTTATTTCACTTTGATCTCCATAGCAATCAATGTGAGCTAGATGTTAAAAAATTATTCATTTGCAAAGAGTTGCAAATCAATTATCTAATGTATTTGTTGACACAAGAAAGATGACAAATTCATATATACAAATAGAAAATACTTCAACAAAAGCTTATGTCTTTGAAAGAAAATCTGATGTAGCAAATGAATCTCGAATACATTAGAAGCGTGGTCAATCAGTTGGTTCAAAAGACTCTGTACTTCGAAAAAGAAAAGTACAAGAGAAAAGCCAACCAAAAACTTTGGAAAAAATAACGTTAGAAAAAATTGATCAATTAAATACTGAAAATACGGTTCCTGAAGAACAACAAGTATTCGAAACTAATGAGATTTCAATAAATTATGTGAAACGAAATAATGTTGTTATAAACAATATTTTCTTCTTCAACGTAACTCTTGATATTATGTAAAATGAAAATCTTGAACCACAATTTGTTAAAGACTTTAACATAGAAATGATTGAAAAAAATGAAAAGAAGTCGTGCAAGCAAAATTGAACTCCTTATAAAAAAAAATGTTTGGACTTATAGTTCGAATACTTGAAAATGTAAAACCCATAGAATACAAGTTTGTTATTGTACAGAAAAGAAATAAATAATGAAATTACAATATATAAAATCCGACTTGTAATTCAAGCTTTCTCACAAAGACCTAAAATTAATTATACATATACACATACATATATATACACATACATACATTTCATAAAGAAAATAAATATTTGATTTGAAATTATGACAGTGTATGTTGATTATTTAAATTTAGTTGGAACTCCTAAAGAATGAATAAAATCACTAATTATTTGAAAATTGAATGTGAAATGAAATATTTAGGAAAAATCAAATTTTGTCTTGGCTATTCTACAAATTACTGT